GAGATGTAAATAAATGTTATCTACATCTTTGTATTTTCTGTTTTACCAGTATCATAAACCAGGAAAGTGAAAGACAAACAAATAAACAATAAGAAAATACGTACATCTGATTACATGTATATATAAAAAAATATTGGCATATCAGAATATCTTAACCCTTTACATATATCTATTTATATATCTATTTTTTTTCTTCTTCATGAAGAAAATACAAATTTGTCAAAATAAATTTTAATATTGTATCTCAAAATACAAATAGATCTCTTGTCAGAACAATGAGCTTTACTTGTCAGAACAATGAGTTTTACTTGTCAGAACAATTACTTGTATGTCCAAAAAAGGGACATAATCATATCAAAATCCATGCTTGTATGTCCAAAAAAGGGACATATTTATATCAAAATTCATAGTTGCGTACACTTCAATAGCAAATTATGACTAACCGGAGTTTAAGGGATTTTAATAACAAAATATAATGAACATACAAGCCCATTAAATTAAGCTACCAACAATAGAGCCTCGGGTCAGACTACATGGATTTGCAAGCTGGCCTGGCTCTGAACTGGTGTCTAATCTAACTCACTTTTGGTTCCGGCAGAATAAAGGTAATGCCATTTTCATACATGTTTTTACACTGTGTATCTAACATACAGAAAACATTTTAAATATTTCTGTAATCATGCTCTAACAACATGACAAGTTAAAGAAATTCTACTGAACAGTTTTGAGTCTGCCTATATGAAAATTCCCAAAAACGTCCTTAAAGATTCAAGCCTTTATTTGTTTTATCTAATATAATCAACACTTAACAATTTAATGATAATTATCAGTCAAAACATGATTTTTGAACTTTATATGCACCATTTTCTCCTTTATCTAACTTGAGGAATAACAGACAGTGATCATTAACTCAGGTGCCCATGTGTGCCTGAAATAATGGACCAAGAGGCACCTGATATCTTTCATCACCAGTAAAACTAGACTGGAAAGTTGCCATAAGACCTTAACAGAGTACATGTGACCTTAACTCCAACTAAAACAAACAATAATCGCTGGTCAAAAGCAAGTTCAAAGGTCAGTAACACCATCAATATTTTCCCAAAGGTCAGTAAACACCATCAATATTTAAGCTATCTTTATAGCTTCCACACTTGAAAGAATTCAATATTTTCATTCATTAACTGTTTTTAGTCCAATGAGCAAGTGATTCAAAACATGACAACCTTAACAAACAGCTTCGTGTCTATACACATGTTTATATAAAATACATCTATTAGTAAGCAAAAAAAGGTATAAATATAACAAGAGCTGTCACAGGAGACAGCCAAGCTCGACTAATAAAATACTGGACGCAGTAAGGAGGACAAAACTATGAAAGAAAAATCAATTATGTATAATTATGTATTAAGTTATAGTAAAAAAATAACATTTGTTAAGATAAATTCCAAGATCAAGGGAAATAATTCTAGAAACAGTCACGCTAGAGTTATGAACCTTGTCACACAACATGTATGTAATGATAAGAAGTATATATTTGAAGTTTGAAGTAGATTCCTTAAAAAGAAACAAAGTTGTAATATTTCTTAAAGAAAATCCTAAGTTCAAAGAGAGATAAATCTGTAAAAATTACTTCAAGAGTTATGAACATTGTCACATAAAATATAATTGATTATAAGGAATAAGTAATTGAAGTTTGAGGTAGATACCGTTAAAACTAAAGAAGTTATAGAAAAATAACATTTTTCAAGTAAAAAAAAGTTCATGGGGAGATAATTCTTGCAATATTGATGTCAGAGTTATGAACCTTGCCATGTTACATGTGGTTAATGATAAGGAACATATATTTGAAGTATGAAGTTGATCCCTTACGAAATAAATATGTTACAGTAAAATTAATATTTTTAAAGGAAAATTCTAAGTTCAAGGGGAGATAAATCTGGTAAAATATTGGTGCTAGAGTTATGAACCTTATCACATAAGATGTGGTCGATGATAAGGAACGTATATTTGAAGTAAGGAGTTGATACCTTAAGAAATAAAGAAGTAACAGTAAAAAATAGTATTTTTTAAGGAAAATTCTAAGTTCAAGGGGAGATTAATCTAAAAATATTGGAGCTAGAGTTATGAACCTTGTCACATAAGATGGGAATGATGATAAAGTACATATATTTTAAGTATGAGGTTGATCCCTTAAGAAATAAAGAAGTAACAGTAAAAAATAGTATTTTTTAAGGAAAATTCTAAGTTCAAGGGGAGATTAATCTAAAAATATTGGAGCTAGAGTTATGAACCTTGTCACATAAGATGGGAATGATGATAAAGTACATATATTTTAAGTATGAGGTTGATCCCTTAAGAAATAAAGAAGTAACAGTAAAAAATAGTATTTTTTAAGGAAAATTCTAAGTTCAAGGGGAGATAAATCTGAAAATATTGGTGCTAGAGTTATGAACCTTGTCACATAAGATGTGGTTGATGATAAGGAACATATATTTTAAATTTGAAGTTGATACCTTAAGAAATGACAAAGTTATAGTGAAAAATATTTTACTGCACCAAAACTTAAATCTGAAATCTGGACGCGGACGCGGACGCCGGGGCGAGTAGGACAGCTCTCCATATACTTCGTATAGTCGAGCTAAAAACAAAATAAATACATATACCATGATGAGCCATATCTAGGCAAAACATGTTTTGTATCTTTATTAATAATAAATATTCAATTGCATATAAAGTCAATACATTTTTTATATCTTTAATATAATCATTAAGTGCGCTTCACAAAGATTATCAAAATTTACAACTTAACATTCATTATCAAGTTTAAAACTATATCTACTTGCAAAAACAAGATTTATTTCTTATATCTTAATAGTTGAGCAAAGATTTCGTACTGACATACATTATAGTTTGCTTGTTTTTCAATATTATAACAATGTCAATATTCCTCATATTACACATATTCATTATAATACAGCATGCTAGATATCTATTGGATGATTATGATGTTTATATATTACATATAATTGATCATGGCTATTGGTAATTCATAGCAACTTTCAAGGAGCTCAATTGAGGTCAAAAAGCCTAAAGATAAAGTTTGAAATTCTTACAACTAGAAATGTGTCATCATGCCACGGATGCCCCCGCATGCAGCCAAAATTTCAAATGTTATAATATTTAGTTCCAAATATGTTTGCACAAATTATTTTTTTCATTCTAAGTTCAAAGCCCTTAAACTTTTCAATGTTAACACAAACCATTTTTATACAATGTTCAAGGCACTGAAATTATTCAGTCTTAACCATTTTATACAATGTTCAAGGCACCTGAAATTATTCAGTCTTAACCTTTTAAAAATAGCATATTGCATATTTGTAGCCAACATAATGGCTATATACATTTCCACAAAAAAGTTTGAGTGCTGAAACTGAAAGTTTCAAAATTTTTCCAACATTCAGGAAAGATAAGTTTGTCTTAAAATCATTGAACCACGACCAAATTCAAACTTAAACTGCTTATTCCTAAGATGTATCTATATTATTTTCAAAGTGAAAGGGACATAACTCTGCCAAAAAATCATCGAACCATGACCAAATTCCACTTGACCTGCGCATTCCTTTGACATATCCATATGTCAATTTTGAGTTGAATATATAACACTGTTTGGTTTGATAATGAACAGAAACTGTAAATTTCATATCATTTTCAAAGTGAAAGGGGCATTACTCTGCCAAAATCATTGAAACCATGACCAGATTCGAACTTGGTCTGCGCATTCCAAAAACATATCCATATGTCAAATTTGAGTTGAATGTGTAATATTGTTGGGGAGATAATAAACGGGAAACTGAAAATTTCATATTATTTTTAAAGTGAAAGGGGCATAACTCTGCCAAAAATCATCGAACCATGACCAAATTTGAAATTGACCTGCGCATTCCTTTGACGTATCAATCTGTCAAATTTGAGTTGAATGTTTAATACTGTTGGGGAGATAATAAACAGAAACTGAAAATTTCATATTATTTCCAAAGTAAAAGGGGCTAACTCTGCCAAAAATCATCGAACCATGACCAAATTTTGAACTTGGCCTGCGCATTCCTTTGAGTATCAATATGTCAAGTTTGAGCTAAATGTGTTGTCGATTGGGGAGATAATGAACAGAAACTGAAAAATTTCATATTATTTTCAAAGTGAAAGGGGCATAACTCTGCCAAAAATCATTGAACCATGACCAAATTTTGAACTTGACCTGCGCATTCCTTTGACATATCCATATGTCAAGTTTGAGTTGAATGTGTTGTACCATTGGGGAGTAAATGAATGGAAACTGAAAATTTCATATTATTTTCAAAGTAAAAGGGGCATAACTCTGCCAAAAATCATCGAACCATGACCAAATTTGAACTTGACCTGTATTTTCTCATGACATATCAATATGTCAAGTTTGAGTTGAATGTGTTGTACTGTTGGGGAGATAATGAACAGAAACTGAAAATTTCATATTATTTTCAAAGTAAAAGGGGCATAACTCTGCCAAAAATCATCGAACCATGACCAATTTCGAACTTGACCTGTATTTTCTCATGACATATCCATATGTCAATTTTGAATTTGAATGTTTTGAACCGTTTGGAGATAATGAACGGAAACTGAAAATTTCATATTATTTTCAATGTAAAAGGGGCATAACTCTGCCAAAAATCATCGAACCAAGACCAAATTCGAACTTGACCTGTATTTTCTCATGACATATCCATATGTCAAATTTGAGTTCAATATGTGCATGGGTTATTAAGATAATGAACGGAAACTGATGATGACGGAAGGACGGAATGACGGAACAGGGTAACACTACATGTATATGCCCCTGCCATTATATGGCGGGGGCATAAAAATTCAGTAAAGCATTCAAAATGGAATAATTTGCCTAAGATATTTAAGAAATAAATTGACAATCAATTTTTGAGCATTCTTAGCCAGATCTGAGTGAAATATTTTGTAGTTTTGGGTGATTTTGCACAATAAGAGATGATTCTGATTCTAAATAAATGGGTGAGGGAATGATCTGAAAATTCGTACACAAGTTATTTGCCCAGACCTGAATCAAATGGTAAAGAAATCTCTGAAAAAAAACAACAAAAAAACATTTTCAATCATGTCATGTAAAAAAAACTCAGTTGAGTCCCTTTAAAGGGTATAAAGTTATATCTTATGATTTTATTTATTATACTAGTATTATGAATTTATAAACAGTAAAATTATGTTGGTTGGATAATCTTAAGGTCAATTTTCCGAAAGGATGTAAAATAGAATTTCTCTGTTTAACACACATCAATATTGTTTGTAAAGAGACTAAAATGATAACCAATATATTTATAATAATAATTATGTTGCTATTAACGAGTATTTTAAGTGTGGTTTTAACCATTTAGCAATGTGTTTGTCAATGATTACATGCATGCGCCATCATCACTCTTAAGGAAATACATAATATAAACACATTTCTTTCATATAGGTATTTTAGAAGTGTTCTTTTTGTAAATAAAAAAAAACAATTTTTGAAGCCGATATTTAGCTTTATACATGTAGAGGTAATACATAATATCATACAATTGCTGGTGAAATTTTTTAGTATTGGTGTGACGTGAAACCAAGCAAATACAAACAAAAATCTAATGAAAGTTTCAATGATACAACAAGAGATAAAAACACAAAAATAATTGTGAGCTGGATGCTCTCTAAATATACTTTACAATATATAGAATAAAATTTGACAATTCGACAAAAAAATACAAAAATCTAAGTTAGTGATTCCGCCAACAATTACAAAGCATAAAACAATATTGGGGTGTCTGAAATTATAGTAGAATATTTGTTTATATCTTGATAAAAATCATACCAAAGTATGTAAATGGAATGAATATCTTGTAAATATTTCGTCAAGCAATTGACTCATAATCATGTCCATGTGACCTACTAAAAAAGGCAAATAAACTTTTTGTGGAAACATAATACAATTTTCCATTGTTAAGTAACAAAATTGCTGGATAATTCTGGTTAACTGCTGCAAATTCCAGTATTTTGGTTGATTCCAGTTTAAGTTGTGTAACTCTTTTCTTCTATATAATTCATCACAAAAGTTGTGCATCCTTTTCGAATAAACTAAGATCTGACTTCAAGACCCATGTCACAAGACCAACCATTCTTTACTTCACTAACACCAGCAGCTAAAAATGTTATATCACCATGGAACATTTTTACTTGTACCTCATTAGCTGTCGACAGCACAAGATTTACTGGTTTAAAAAATAACTTCAACACTAATGGCATCTTACAATTATTAAACGCCTCATAAACAACCCCTGCTTTGTTAGATTGAGAAACTACATATAAACACTCATTGCCACTAATACTTATAGAGGTAATGTTTTCTTTTAAATCGCTATAATGAATACTGTCTAAAACTTCGTCAAGATCTATGTCATCTAATGCTGTTGTTTGAATATCTTCAATATCGCTGTTACATATACACAACTTCAAGTCGACTCCCATATCTGAACAGTTTGAGTATTTCCCGTATGGTGTTATTCTGTCAAAGTTACCCAACGCAAAGCTCGAGTCTTCTGTAATACAAATACTTATGAAAAATATCTCGTCCACAGTTTGTCCGTCTGTTTGCACATACAAGTCCATCTTAGACATTTTAGAGTGCATCCTGTAAATAAAATATCACCAAATAGTAGGTAGTAAAATTTACAAATTTAAATAATTGCACACTAATAAAAAGAACATTTACTCGAAGATTCACAGGGATCTTTTTATCAATATACCATTTAAAGACAAGCAATTAGCAAAGTAATTGGCAAAGCCAATACAAAAATCCCATACCAGTTTAAGAGCAACACAAGAAGCATGGCCATTTAATTATCCATTGTGGTAGACATGAATGAACTTTGAGTTCTTTGGTAAATCTTCCAAGATTTGTCCGCATCATTTTATAATGTGTTAGTCTCACTCTCCGTGCCTAATAAGGAAATTATGTTTATACAACAAACAATCTATGTAAAGTACTGTTTAAAAGGGACTCCCCACTTGAGTTTATGAATCTTTCACATAACATGTTGGTAAATGATAAGGAGCATATATTTTGGAAGTATGAAAGTTGAAACTCCCTTTAAAAAATTAAGAAAGTAAACAGTTAAAAAATAGTATTTTTTAAGGGAAAATTCTAAGTTCAAGAGGAGATAAATAAAAAATATTGGTCTTAGGGTACATAAGATGTAGTTAATGGGTAAGGAACATTATATTTGAAGTATGAAGTGGATTCCCTTAAGAAATAAATAAGTAACAGTAAAAATAATATTTTTTCAAGGGAAAAATTCTAAGTTCAAGGAGAGATAAATCTGAAATATTGGTGCTAGAGTTATGACTTGTCACATAACAATTGTAGTTAATGCATAAGGAACAGTATATTTTGAAAAGTTATGGTAAGTTGACCCTTACGAAAATAAATAAGTAACAGATAAAAAACAATTTTTTTAAGGAAAATTCTAAAGTTCAAGGGGAGATTTTATCTGAAAATTATGGTGCTATGTCACATAAGCTGAAGTTGATGATAAGGAACATATATTTGAAGTTTGAAGTTGGATACCTTAAAGAAATTTGAAAAAAGGTTTTATTAGTTGAAAAATATTTACTGCCACCAAAATTTAATCTGAAATTTCTGAACCGGACGGCCGGGGTGGCGGTAGGACAGCTTAACACGCTCTCCAATACTTCGTATAGTCGAGGCTAAAAATCAAGCAAAATTTAGACATTTTTGCCTTGAAGTTTAAGGTCACTTATGAAATGAAAGTCAAAGCTTAGTCTGGTCTAACTAAAAAGGTTTCTTGTGCCAAGGGTTTGGTGTTGTGGCCAATTATAAAGACAATTACACCAAAAGAAACTTAATTTAAGTTATTGATGTTCAAGAATTTTAAGTTTGCAGAAGGCAAACAGCAATGCCGAAGTGAGGTTAACAAAACCTCTTTTTTTTTTTTTTTTCAAAAACAAGTTGAGGCTTAATTTAAAAATGCAAAGACAAAGCATTTATTTCATTATTCTGGGGTCAATAATAGTGGGGAAATTGAGTTTTTTTTAAATTAAGAGGGACTTATGGAATAATAAAAATTTTACTAAGAGAAAAACTTAACAGGACGCCATACAATCAAAGCTGTGTAATATTTATAAAAACAATGACTTTTTATTCAGGGTTTTATATTTTTGGAATTTTTTTGGTTTTTGAAACATGTTTTAAGATGGTATTTTTTATTTTAATGAGGAAAGTTGCAAGTTTATGCTCCCTTCCAAAAATAATTAAGCAAATAACCCTTGTTCACGATAAAAAAAAATAATAAGAATTGCAAATCATTTCACTTGAAATGAATACGAATTTGGAAAATAATACACAAGATATTTACTTCAAATTACTGGCGTATTTGGGAAAATATGTTAAAATTTTATAAATTTCAAATTTTTGTTTAAACCCCAAATATACGAACTTACTTAAATCAAAGTATAAAAGAATGTCATAACATTAAGCCAATGGTTACTTTTTTCCCCATGCACAGATAATATACAGTCATAAAATGTTTTTTTTTAATTTCTACAGTACCCAATTTTGCAGATAAGGCCTTTTTTTAAACCCCAACACCGACAAATATATAAGTTTAGGGCCCTTTAAAATTTTAAAATCCCTTTTTATATGCCAAAAATTTGACAATGTCCCAGATTGTTTTTGGGCTCAAACCCAGGACCTCCGGAAACTGTTCCAGGGCTCTTCCAATTGAGCATCAGACCCTTACACATTTTCTCACCAAAAACCCGAAAAAAAAAACCCCCCATAATTCTTACCCGGCCCTAATCTGGGGGGGGGGGCCCTTAAAATTTTTAAAATTCTTTTTAATTTTTCCAAGGTTACAGAGCAATTCTTAAAATTGGAACCCCCGGGGCCCCCTTTATATGAATTCAAAAACACCCCCACAAGGGGGGTGCCAAATTGTCACACGATGAGAATAAGTTAAAACCGGGGACAGGGGTTTGAAACCCGGGGACCCCCTTTTAATTTAACTTTTTTTCCCATTTTTCCCAAATTGTTGCCTTTTTTTCCTTTTTCATCCCCAGTTTTTCCCCCCCCTCCCCCCCTGGAAACCGAATAGTTTTACTTTGTATCTTTTTCCCATTTCCCTTAAATTTATTATATCCTCCCAATGCTATTCCCAATTTGTAACCCTTCAAACTTTCAAAATTTTTTTGTAAAATTTAAAAAACAAAAAAAACTCCAAATTTGGGCCACCCCTTTAAACCCATTATCTGTTTTTCCCCTCCCCGACCCAAATCAATTTGGAGGGTTTGGGTTGGGTAAATGCAATTTTTTCTTTTATTCAAAAAAAATTTTTTTTCTATCTTTTCTTAAAAAGGAATTAAAAACCAAAATTTTGGGGAATGTTTAAAAACTTAAACTAAATTTTTAAAATTTTAAAATAAAAGGAAAAAAAAAAAAAAAAAAAAAAAAAAAAAAAAAAAAAACCAATTCCCCCCAGTCCCCCCAAAATTCCTAAAATTAATTTTCCTTTAATACAATACTTTATTTTTCTATTTTTGGAACCCGCTTTGATTCCCCGAACAAACAGAACTAGGGTTTTTCAATTACACCTTGGGGGAATGAAAGGGTTTAAAATTTTTTAACAGTTTATCAAAATTTAAAATAGAATAATTTTCCCATTGTTTTTATTTTAGTAAAGACTACAAATAAGGGCCCTGAAAATTTTTTTTGTATATTTTTTCTTTAATTTTTTTTGTTTAAAAAAAAAATTTCCATCCCATAAACAAACATATGTTCAACAAGTTTGGAAAATGTTTCCCCCCAAATTTCAACTCAACCAAATCAACGAAACTTAACACAGTGTACTGTTTTTGATACGCATTTTGAAAACCACCTGGATAAAAATTTCTAAATATTTAGAAGAAATGACATTATCTGATAAACTGAATATACCTTTAAAAACAATTTAAATTTTGAAACGTATTTATTCATTTGACCAATGTTTAAGGTGGGAAAACCGTTAGCCTATATCCTTACCTGATAATAGTTCAACCTCGATTTGCGCTCGAACTATCGATCTCCTTACATTGCACAGGCCCTTCTAGTTTGAGCGAACAAAGTTTTGATTGAATATATTTTTTTTTTCCTAGGCAATACTATTTTTGGTAGCTGTGGATTTTTGTGGAAACGGTAACGGCACGTAAAACAATAATTTTTTATTTCTGGCCATAAGAACTTCGACTTAGAACAAGTAAGGGTTGATTGTACATCAATTCTCCATAACATAAATTTACTTTAAAATGCTTTGAAACATACTCCATACAAAATGAAAAGACTTGGGACACATTTTCTTTTTACAATAACAATCAACTAAAATAAATTTTGTTTCTTCAAATAAAACCCCTTCCTTAAAGAATACTTTTAGATAAATTCATTTCAACATAAGAAATGTTCATTCAAATTTGAAATCATCCCAAAAACATTTAAACAATGTTTAAAAAAACTTACAAACTTACTCTTTGAAAGATTTGTCTATAGCCCTGGCTCTCTCTTTATATCTTGAAACAAGACTGTCTTCTGGTGTTTCTGTTTCTGACCTATAGAATAAATTTATTACACTTTTTCAAGCAACAGCTTTCTTACAAAAAGTTATTTTCAAGAGAGGAGCTCACTTTATGACATATATAATAGTTTAGTATATATTCTGTATTCGAGTCTCATCCATACATCACAACATAAAACAATTCAATTACATAATTTTACAAAATAAAAGTTATTTATGTATGGCCATTCTAATCAGAATTACAAGAGACTATAAAAATAATATAATGGAAGGGAGGCAACTCTGCAAGAATTTCCAATATAACTTATAATAGAGTTACCTCTCTATATAACCTTCATAGTAAGTTATTAGTTCGAAATGTAATTTAAAAGCTATTAGAATTAATACCTACAGAATCTCTTTAAAGTGACATGCCTCCAGATTCATGCTTAATTTCATGAAAATTGAGAAAATTTATTGAATGGTTAAATATTGTAAAGTGAACTTAGATAGTAAATTTCACATTTCAAATGGCACTAAAATTCTCATAAATTACCAAAAACAGGTCACAATATGTAGAAATATCCCTTACTGTGTTGTCATGTAGTAGAGATATGTTGATAAATACGTAAAATCAGTCATCATATGCATATAATATGTAAGTTATCAATATTCCATTGAGAATATTATGACTTTAACTCTTCATTCATTTCTCAAGTTTGATTTTCATTAACTATTTTTGCTCAGCTGGAGGTGTGTAGCTTTAAGATTATTAGAAAATAAATATTTTCTACAAAGGTTTACCTATTACTATTTAAGGTAGCCATACTGTAATGCTTTCCTGCCAAAAAATTCTAACACAGGCCAATATCGTATTAAATTGGTTTTTTTCCGGAACATTATTTTTCACAAATCTTTGATACTTTAATATAATTTTTAACCGTTACTACCGTAATTTTCTAAATAGTGATAAAAGATGATTGTTAATAACCTAATGCCCAAGATTTTGGAAAAATACTGTTCCAGAAATGATCGATAATAATTATGCTCCGATATTGACCGATGTTAGAATTTTTGTGGTGGGAAAGCATAATTACAGAAAGACTACCTTAATATTGTTTGTGATCATTGAACATCTAAATATATAAAATATGAGGAACCATTTAAACCTATTTACAAATAATTTATAGGTCTTTAAATTATGTTGAAGTTTAAAGCCACATCATACATTTATAATATGGAAGACACTAACTTGATTTTTGCTAGCCAAAACTTTACAATAAATATTACAAACCCTTCATTCGATCAGATATATCAGACACTGGAAAAGAGTGGGCAGCTGCCTCCCCGTCAGAAGGAATTGAATGATCTTCTTCTTTTACTATGAGTAGGATTGGTGTTTGTGTACATTCTTCTTTTACTTCGATAGGTGTTTGCTTCACAGCAGCAGATTTTACATCAGAAGTGGAACATACTTTTTTTACTTTGAAAGGGGTTTGTTTCACGAACACAGGCTTTTCAGCGGAAGTCGAAAACATTTTTTTTACTTTGAGAGGTGTTTGCTGCCTATAAACCACATTTTTTTCAGCAGTAGTTGAACACATTCTTTTGACTTTCATAGTTGTTTGCTTCATGTCCACAGATTTTTCCGCAGTCTCCTTCGGAGCCTTTTCTTTCCTAAGTAAGAAAGGAACAAAGAATATTAGATGCATAAAAAATTTTATAGCCTTTATTGGGTCATATTCTCAATAGAAAATAGTATATTATTTTCCCAATCCACAGGAAAAAATTCCCATTGAAAGTTCCAAAATAAAAACTCTAAAATCTTTGCAAATAAGGGCTTCTTCACTGTAATACGTGCTTAAATCTTTGAAGATGTCATCATAGTCTAGACAGTATAATTGTTTGCATCCATTTAATCACTGCAAAATTTCAGTCATGCATTATTTCCCAATTTTTAACAAAAACACTGCTGAAATTCCCAATTCCATGGGTATGGGTCGTGTTCCCAAAATCCTGGCCCGGGCCCATACCGCTTAGCCGCTAGCCAAAAGTTCTAGCCGTACGTGAGTCACATATGACTAGAAAGGACTCACTGTATTGTCTACCCGTACGGCACTTTTCAAAATTATATGGAAGTTAAACATGCATATGTTATTTTGTGGCTCATCATTATGATTTGTTGTTTTATTTGTATGAAAGATGAATCAAGCACATGGGTCAAATAAATAAAGATCGGAATACATGGAATAAATAAAAAGAACATTGAAAAATAATTAAAAAACAGTGAAAGCAAAATTAATTGTATAATTTTCAAATACAGTAGATAAATATCAAACATAAAATCACAATCAATCAGTTAGCCTTAATTTAAGCCTAAAGTCAAGAGGATTAATCTCTAAAAAATAAACATACAAAGACAATGTGCTGTTTCTTGGTTAAAATACTCGCTTAATGTCATCAAATACAGTGTTGTTTCCTTTATATAACTACTACCCTAAAACAATACTGTTCTCAATAGAAAATAGACATTAAAATTCCCAATTTCCAATGTTTAAATTCCCAAAATGGCTGTTGAAAACAACCACAAGGCCAAGTGATTTCTCTGAAATCATTTAAATTCAACATATTCACATGAATCACCACTCAATAGTTTTCCCTCGATAGTGGGAACTGTTAGCTATTGATATTCATGATGACTGATGTTATTTCTAGCAGAAAAAATGCTTTAAAAAAATCCCAATTTCAGTCAAAATAACGCATTTTTTCCCAATCAGTCTGGTACCGGCACCATTCCCAAAGTAGAGGAACTCAGGAAAAAAACACTGAAATAACAAATGCATTTTCGACGGGCAGCACGAAATACCCAAATATACCCAAATATTGCCTAAATATACCCAAATATTGCCCAATTATACTAAAAATAAATGTTTTATACTAAAAAAGTGTTGTTTTAATGATGAATACAATATACACTTTCACTATTGACTAAGATATAATCAAACATACCCAAATATACATTTTCCTATCATTGCATACTGTACTCCATTAATTTGATTAAAGCTATTATTTTTTTTAAATAACATTGACACTTGTATAATTATGATATGAAATTTCAACAAAATTGCACCTTAAAAATGTAAGTGTAGACAACAACACAGTATATCAACGATTTGAACCCCAACCGGATCTTGTGAGAAGATTTTAGTGTCAGCCATATTCTGCCACTTCACTTGTTTACGATATTGGTATTTATATTGATACCGATGATTGTTAGGTTAGTAAATCTTTATTTATATTATAAGAGAGAAACTTTATTAAACGTCTAAGTTGTGCAAAACATAAACGTTAGCACGAAGGCTATAAAATAATCGAAACTCACGAACAGCTTCCAGGTGAACAACACTGAACACGAACAACAAGAACCGGTTGAACCGGGTGATGCTCCCCGAGAAGGTTCTGGACACAGGAAAGTATAAAAAAAATGAACAAAGGGCAAAAACTCCAAAATTAGGCAAAGCGGAGTTATGTTTTTTTGCACTGCACTTCTATTCAATGAGATCTATCTATCTATAAAGTTTCCTGATGATATCAGAGTTATGTCCCGGGTAAAAGTCAAAGTGTAAAAATGAACAAAGGGCAATAACTCCAAAATTAGACCAGGCTTTGTTTAGGTTCTTTAAGCATTGCAGTTCTATCCAATTATATCTAGCTACCTACAAAGTTTCATGTTGATATCTCTAATAGTTTTTAAAGTATTGTCCAGGACAAAAGTCAAAAAGTAAAAATAAACAAAGGACAATTACTTCAAAATAAGGCAAGGCAGAGTAATGATTCTTAAGCACTGCACTTCCACCCAATGAGACCTATCTATCTACAAAGTTTCATGTTGATATCTCTTATAATTTTAGAGTAATGTCCCAGACAAAGTTCAAAGTGTCAAAATGAACAAAGGGCAATTACTCCAAAAAAAGGCAAGGCAGAGTTACGGTTCTTGTGCACTGCACACCTTCTCAATGAGATCTATCTACCTACAAAGTTTCATGTTGATACCTCTTATACTTTTAGAGTTATGTCCCGGACAAAGTTCAAAAAGTAAAATAAACAAAGGGGGATAATTAAAAAATTAGGCAAGGCAGAGTTACGGTTCTTGTGCACTGCACACCTACTCAATGAGATCTATCTAACTACAAAGTTTCATGTTGATACCTCTTATACTTTTAGAGTTATGTCCCGGACAAATTTCAAAGTGTAAAATAAACAAAGGGGGATAATTCAAAAATATGGCAAGGCAGAGTTACAGTTCTTGTGCACTGCACACCTACTCAATGAGATCTATCTACCTACAAAGTTTCATGTTGATACCTCTTATACTTTTAGAGTTATGTCCCGGACAAAGTTCAAAGTGTAAAATAAACAAAGGGGGGTAATTCAAAAATTAGGCAAGGCAGAGTTATGGTTCTTGTGCACTGTACACCTATTCAATGAGATCTATCTACCTACAAAGTTTCATGTTGATACCTCTTATACTTTTAGAGTTATGTCCCGAACAAATTTCAAAGTGTAAAATAAACAAAGGGGGGTAATTCAAAAATTAGGCAAGGCAGAGTTACAGTTCTTGTGCACTGCACACCTACTCAATGAGATCTATCTACCTACAAAGTTTCATGTTGATACCTCTTATACTTTTAGAGTTATGTCCCGGACAAAGTTCAAAGTATAAAATAAACAAAGGGGGATAATTCAAAAATTAGGCAAGGCAGAGTTACGGTTCTTGTGCACTGCACACCTACTCAATGAGATCTATCTACCTACAAAGTTTCATGTTGATACTTCTTATACTTTTAGAGTTATGTCCCGGACAAAGTTCAAAGTGTAAAAATAAACAAAGGGGAATAATTCAAAAAATAGGCAAGGCAGAGTTACGGTTCTTGTTCACTGCACACCTACTCAATGAGATCTATCTACCTACAAAGTTTCATGTTGATACCTCTTGTTGTTTCAAAGTTATGTCCCGGACAAGAAAAGGGGACGGACGGACGGACGGACGGACGGACGGACGGAAAGACGGACGGACGGATGGACTGACGGACGGACAAGGCGGCGACTATATGCTCCCCCGAAATTTTTTCGGGGAGCATAAAAATCTGTCTTATTCCAATGTTGATTTAGTTAAACATTGAATTGTGATATCGAACTACTAAAGTAATCAATAACAAACGATAATTTAGTCATATGCATAACATATTGCTGTATCTTGAACATAAATTTAAGAGTTTTATCAAGGAGGTCATTTCCATAAACTGAACGTTACTTGCTGGTGATTGTGAACCCTACTTGTGAGTTTACGAATTTTATCTGTACCCTGACTTGTGAGTATTTTTAAAGATTTATTGGAGAAAAAGTTTACGTTCATTACGATTTTGTATCAATTATTGCCAGAAAATATAAATGATTGTAATGGAATTCTAGTATATAAGGTGGGATCTAAGGTATTTTCCAAGAATTGGTTTAACTGATAATATTGTTAATCATTTGTTTAATAAAATATATAATGCTATGTATATTTTTCTTTCGGATCACCATGGAAGAATACAACTGCATATACTGTTGAGTAAAGACTACGAATTTCAATGCCATCATTAGCCACATAATTATTCGCCATCCAGACTGCAACTAGAAAATAAGAATAAATAATGATCAGAATAAAATTTCCTACTTAAAAAATTTCAGCGCCACAACCAATAACGTAAACGAAAAAAAGAAGTTTATAACACCAATAGCTGAAACACTGACAATTAAAATTTCAAAATTTCCCGAATATTCTCCGTTTAAAAAGATGCCAAAATTGTCGACGTCTATGAAAGATATTCAAGAATAAAAGTCGTACATGTCAATGAAAGTCAATGAATTTCTCAGAATATAAAACAGTGTTTAAAAAAGCAGAATGAAATCAACGGTAGGTGTAAAGCTTTCAACATGTTGAAATAAGTAATCTGCAAAAAAAATCTTGTAATGATATTTCGGGGTTTATTGATACGTGACATTATATAACGGTCACGTCAAAACTAACAACAATGCCGTTGAACTAAATATAACAAGCAATTATCATAGTATTGCAAGCAATCCATAAGTCCCCTACCGGTAAGAGCCCAAGCAACATTCTGAAGGGCCATTTGCCATTCACTTATGTTCCTATTTTAAGTAAATTTGTTGAAAAAGTTCTTTATAAGTGATCACAGGAAACAGTTTTTATGTACAGACAGACGGACTGAAGGACACTCTAAAGTTATTTTTTAAACATCCCTGTTATCAAAATATATCATTTTTAAAATCCTATCATGATTGAAGAAGTTGGAGTAAAAATTACCAATTTCTCAAAAAAAAATCTAAGTTCAAAAGGGGCATAATTCTGGAAATAGTCTTGCTAGAGTATTGGACCATCACAAATGTTGAGTGATAATAAGAAACATTTATATGAAGTTTGAAGTAGATACATTCAGAAAAAGAAGTTTTTAAAAAAAAAACAATGTTTTTTCATGAAAATTTTAAGTTCAAGGGAGGTAATTCTGATAAATTTTGTGCTAGAGTTGTAAACCTTGTCACATATGATGTGGTTGATTACAAGCAACTTATGTTTAAAGTTTGAAGAAAATACCTTAAGAAATAAAGAACTTATAGTGAAAAAACTTAAAAACTAGAATCAGAAATCTTGAAATTCAGTCTATTTGTTGCCATAGCAACCAGAATTTTCAACATAGGAAGATAAGAAAAGGATGTGCATAATTTCCATACTGCCATATACCCATATGTCAAGTTTCATAAACATATTTTCAGTACTTTTTGTGTTATTACTGGATCCAGGTTATGTGTAAAATTTGCCATATTTTCAATCTATTTGTTGCCATAGCAACCAGAATTTTCAACATAGGAAGAAAAGAAAAAGACGTGCATAATCTCCATACTGCCATCTATCCATATATCAAGTTTCATAAAAATATTTTCAGTACTTTTTGCGTTATTGCGGGATCCAGGTTATGTGTAAAATTTGCCATATTTTCAGTCTATTTGTTGCCATAGCAACCAGAATTTTCAACATAGGAAGAAAAGAAAAAGACGTGCATAATCTCCATACTGCCATCTATCCATATATCAAGTTTCATTGAAATATTTTCAGTAGTTTTTGTGTTATCGCGGGATCCAGTTTTGTGGACGGACGGACTGACGGACGGACGGACGGACAGACAGACGGAGGGTAAACCTAAAGTCCCCTCCGGTAAACCGGTAGGGGACTAAAAAAATTATATTACATATGTAATATTTTAGCTTTATATCTTTCCAAAGAAAAAAAATGAATGGTAAGTGAAGATGAGGTTTGTTAGTTAATTATTCCTATCAAGAAATAATTGACTTTCTGGTTCGTATAACCAGCCACTTCATGCCGGTATTTTCGTAGACAGTGAAAACATGACGAAGCTCCTCCATTCATATGCAGTTTTAGTTACTTACATAGAACTAAAACATGTACCCTTCTCTTGTGACACAATAACTTCGTATTATGCACAATAAAATTTGGAACATACGACAAAAACACAATAAAAATCATCAAAAGTGACTCGCAAGTAATGGTTCAGTGAAAACACAAGTAGGGTACAGATCATTAAAATTGTTTTAGCAAGACGGGTACAGTTATCAGAAATGTCGCCTCTATTATTTACTATGTTTTATCAATATTCAAAGATATTTTCACAAGTGTCTGTCCGGTAACATGAGGTTAAGACAATAAAGTTAAGATTCAGATATGAGTTATAGTGAAATAAAACAATTTTAGGCATACATTTGCTTGTGTAATCGGCGTGTGTTGACATAAACAAAACATGAGGCGAAGAGCACAGCGGTTTATGCGCATATGTTTTACGAAGAAGGTTATGGATGTATATTTAAGCAAAGATAAATTATTTCTTAAAATGATTCAAATGTTAACATACCGTAACATATTAAATTCAAGCCGATTTTTGATAATTTAATGTGTCATTACGCCTGATTGTACGTTTAGATGCTGAGATCTTCTCACAAGATCCGGTTGGGGTTCAAATCGTTTATATACTGTGAACAAATATCATATCTTGATTTACAATTGCAAGTACTTTCATAAAGAACCTATATAGTAGATAAGCAAATGTCACAACTAAATTTTCTTACAACATCTTAACTGCCCATTTCAACGGAATGAATGAAAGTTATAGCAGACTAAGTCATATTGTTTTATAAATATTTATTTATTTCTTCTTCTTCTTCCGGGTAATGTGCTGGGCCCCTCTGGAGCATCGTCGCACAATTCTCATTATAATCTATATTTTATACAAACAAAAATAAATGTTGCTATATTTGGGTATATTTGGGTGTATTTGGGTATTTCGTGCCGCCGTTTTCGACTTCCATATAACTTTGAAAATGCAGTACAGCTAGCCAAGACACTCTGTCTTTGCTTACGCGACTCACGTACAGCAAGAACTTTTGGCTAGCCGTACGACTAGCCACTTTCTTCTAAAAAATGAGGATGGGGGTTGAAGTGTTTGGAGAGGGGAATAATTTGTCTTCTTAAGTTCTTTTTCAAAATTTGAGGGATGTCAGAAGTGAATAGTTCCCCTTGAAAATCATATAAGTAAACATATGCAGTTTACTTTTCTTTTTATTAAATAACGTTAGTTTAACATTCAGGACATTAATTACACTATTCGAAGTGAATGTTTATTTACTTAAAAATTTATCTCACCATGCTTGAAGAAGTCGCACGGCAAATTCATCGTGAGTGCTGACTTCACTTGCATCTTTCAAACTATTCCACTCCTGCCAGGTTTCCTTCGACAATCTTACAGCGTGTCGGGTTTGTGCATATGTCTTATAAGTTTCTTTTCTTCGCCTTTTAGCTGTTTCTGGCGACATACGCGGCTTACGCGTTTTCTTCCTTTCCGCCATATTTGTTTACAAGACGTTTCGGTCCCAAACAAAATCGACCCACAACGTTTCGGCCCTTTCACGCTCGAGACGTTTCGGCCCTTCTATGACATTAAAAAAAAGATTGTACGTTCTTGAAAAAAAATCGATATAATTAATGAAACACACAATAAAAACACCTTAAATTCTTATATAATGAGACACTTGATAAACAACAAAAACTACTTGATCAAAAAAGTTAATTACAACAAGAGCCAATTGTTACCATGGCCACCCCCGCAGAATGTGTTTGCTCATTGGAAGAATATATATAGTAGAGCAGATATTTCAATTCAAAGAGGTCTTTTGGTAATGAAAACTGATGGCTGAAGTGATTACAGATTTGAAACATATGACTTGTGAATACTAATGGCTGAATATAAGAAAGGGCAATTACTGAAAAATAATGCAGGGTAAGTTATCATTCTTGTGTGCTGCACTCCTCAATGAAATCTATCCACCTATGACGTTTCAAGTTGATACCTCTTACAATTTTTGAGAAAAGCTCCGTACAAAAAGTATAAAATATAACAAAGGGCAATAACTAAAAAATTATGAAGGGTAGAGTTATCATTCTTGTGCACTGCACGTCTCCTGTGTGAGATCTATCAACCTATGAAATTTCATGTTGATAGCTCAAAGGCTTTTTGAGTTATGCTCTGGACAAAAATTAATTTTGAAAAATAACAAAGGGTAATAACTCGAAAATTATGCAGGGTAGAGTTATCATTCTTAAACACTGCACTCCTCCTCAATGAGATCTATTCACCAATGAAGTTTCAAATTGATACCTCCAATTCTTTTTGAGATATGCTCTGGGCAAAAATGTCGAATGGAAGTATGGAGACTATTTCCCCGCCGCCTTACGGTGGGGGATAATTACATCTATCTTCATGATACTATTAACATATGTCATATAAATAACATATCAGCAAAAGCAAATAAGTCACTCATATTTATAACTAGAACTCTGCGAGTCGGATGTGTCGCCTTGTGAACAATGTAGTTTAGGGGAAATGGCCAGGACAAAAATGAAATATGAAACATAACAAAGGGCAATAACTAAAAAAATAATAAGTGCAGAGCAGCAGTTTCTGTACACTGCACTTCTTCACAATAAGATCTATCATTCTATGATGTTTCAAGTCCATAGCTTTCATACTTGAGGAGAAATGACCAGGACAAAAATAAAGTAAGAAAATCAACAAAGGGCAATAACTCAAAAATAAGAAAAGCAGAGTATCACTACTTATGCACTGCACTTCTTTTTAATGAGATCTATCATCCAATGAAGTTTCAAGTCCATAACTTTTATACTTTCAGAGAAATGGCCTGGACAAAAATTAAGTATGAAAATTAACAAAGGGCCATAACTCAAAAATTAAGAATGCAGAGTACCGATTCTTGAGCACTGCTGAGATCTATCATCCTATGAAGTTTCAAGTCCATAGCTTTTATACTTCGGGAGAAATGGCCCAGACACAATAAAAGTATGAAAATAAACAAAGGGCAATAACTCAAAAAATAAGAAATGCAGAGTACAAGTTCTTGTGCACTGCACTTCTTCTTAATGAGACCTATCATCCTATGAAGTTTAAAGTCCATGGCTTTTATACATTAGGAGAAATGGCCCGGACAAAAAAAAAGTATGAAAATTAACAAAGGGCAATAACTCAAAAAATAAGAACTGCAGAGTACTGGTCCTTGTGCACTGCACTTCGGGTTATTGAAAGAAGCAGGCATACCAAGTTTGAAGTCAATCAGACTTATAGTGACTGAGTTATGCTCCGAACAAGCTTAAGGGGAAGCCGACGCCAACAATGATGCCGACAACGATGCCGACACAGAAGCCGCTGCCGCCGACCTCGCTGACAAAAGTAACCCCTATAGGTCACCTTTTCAAGGCGACAAAAAAAGGAAATGTCAAAACTTCAACAAGAGGGCCATGATGGCCCTGAGGTCGCTCACCTGTATATAGCCCCCCCTCCCCCCCCCCCCCACATAAGAAGATGTTTCTTGCTAAACATCTAAGCTCTAGCTCATTGGGCTTTTTAAGTTTTTACTATACACATATAAGGAAAATCAATGACACCCCTGGGGCGGGGCCAGTTTTGACCCCAGGGCTTTTATTTGAACAAAGTTTGTAGATACTTACGTGAAGATGTTTCATGCTTAATATCTAAACTCTAGCTATTTGGGTTTTTTCAAAAAAGATTTTAAGTTTTTGCTATACACAGATAAGGAAAATCAATGACCCCCCGGGCGGGGCCAATTTTGACCCCAGGGCTTTTATTTGAACAAACTTTGTAGACACTCACTGAAAGATGTTTCATGTTTAATATCTAAACTCTAGCTATTTGGGTTTTTTTCAAAGAAGATTTTTTAAGTTTTTGCTATACATGTACACATATAAGGAAAATCAATGACCCCCTGGGGCAGGGCCAATTTTGACCCCAGGTCTTTTATTTGAACAAACTTGGTAGACACTTACTAGAAGATGTTTCATGCCAAATATCTAAGCTCTAGCTCTTAGGGTTTTTTAAAGGAAGATATTTAAAGTTTTTTTCTTTCTGTTGCCATGGCAACCACAGTTTTGCATGGAATTAAATTCTTTGAAAAATTTTTAAAGGTGACCACCCAAGGAACATTCCTGTGAAGTTTGGATGAAATTGGCCTAGTGGTTTATGAGGAGATGTCATTTAAAGTAAAAGTTTACGGACGGACGACGGACGGACGCGGACGAAAAGCGATCACAAAAGCTCCCCTGTCACTTTGTGACAGGTGAGCTAAAAAAAAAAAAGGTTAAAGAAATTGCCTACAAAACTTAAGTAAGGCCCCAGTTAGAATACTGTTCCACGGTTTGGCATCCTTGGCGAAAATATCTGGTATACAAAATAGAACAAGGTAACGGGTCAGCTGCCAGATATAATATGTATACAACAATTACACCAGTAGTGTATCTAAAATGTTCAGTGAACTTAATTGGCAAACTCTAGAGCAATGGCGCAACATCAGCTTTGTGAACCTACTCTACTCTACAAAATCCAACACAATCCTGTGAGGGTCGATCATCACCACCTGGCACCCACTAGAAACCTGAACTACCTAATACCATACTCAAGGACACAATGCCACTCCTATTCATTTTTCCCCAGAAGTATTCGTCTGCGAAATAGCCTTACTTGTGTCCTTACATTTAGCTAGTCCCAGTTTAGACCTCTTTACTGGACAGCTGCATCAGTTTTTCCAGTTCTAAGGCAGCTAAATTGCTTCAGTCTAGTAGTTCTTTTTTAACTTGCTTTTATCTTATACCTATAAATTGCACTAAACACATGTGTTTTTAACAGATACATGACTATTCCCAGACAACTTGCCTGCTTAGTGTTATCATTAACAATTTTGAAGAAGTATAATGTAGATGTAGATTCAGATGTAGATACTGGCACTTACAAGTAACTGCTTAGCAATCAATTCTGATTATTCTGATTATTATTACACCTCAGAGTTCATAATCTCTTAACTAAACATTTAAAAATATGTTGTTGTTTTTTTTTCATTGTGTAACAAATGACCTTTAATGGCTTATTAATTGTGGTTTAATAAGCAAAACCAAAGAAAACTTCAGTTTTTTTTGTTGTTTTTTTTAATTAACTGTTTGTTATAATTTCTGGATAATGTTTTTAATTAAATTAATGCAATTTAGTAATCATAGATGATAAACCTTATAAAAGTGACTAAAAAAACTTAACATAACTGAATTAACCCTTTCGCTGCCAGAGGGTTATTGTTTTATTGTTCACATATTTGCCAGAGGATTTTCTAAGAAATTACTATATTATTATTAAATATAATTATTATTATTTGTTATTTGTAACAAATGACCTTTAATGGCTTATTAATTGCGGTTTGAAAGCAAAACCGAAGAAAACTTCAGTTTTTTTGTTTTGTTTAGTTTTTTTAATTATCTGTTTGTTATAATTTCTGGATAATGTTTTTAATTAAATTAATGCAATTTAGTAATCATAGATGATAAATCTTATAAAAGTGACTAAAAAAACTGAACGTAACTGAATTAAACCACGCTTACTTTCTATAGATATGTTATGATTATAAGATATGTTATAATACTTGTTTTGAATTTCAAATGTCTGTGCTATAATCATTGTTGAAAGCATTTCATAAATAATTCGCAGCTTTATAATGTTGTCCTGAATCATTCAAACTTGTCATTTACTTATAAATAAATAATTGTTAATAATAAATGAGCCGTGTCACGACAAAACCAACATAATGGGTTTGCTACCAGCATGGATCCAGACCAGCCTGTGCATCCACGCAGTCTGATCAGGATCCATGCTGTTCCATTACAAACTGTATAACAAGTACAGAAACTAATAGCGATCAGCATGGATCCTGATCAGACTGCTCGGATGCGCAGGCTGGTCTGGATCCATGCTAGTCGCAAACCCACTATGTTGGTTTTGTCGTGACACGGCTCAAATGTCTATTTGTGTACAACATTTTGTTTATTAAAGTTTTATGTTCTGTTTCGTTTGTTTTGATATTCCCTTTTTCCTACCATTTTAGCATCATTCTTTTATAAAATCAATAATCAATTAATTCTTTTATTCATTTTCCATTCATTGATTGAAATATTCCATTCATTGATTAAACTTTTCCATTCATTGATTGAAATGCTACATTAATTCTGATATAAAACACATAAAGGTATTAGACTTATCCTTAACTAAAAATGGGGCTGATCTGGCAAAGGGCTAAAACACCTGGGTCCGAAATGTCTTGAGTAACTTGGGGTCAAAACGTCTTGGGTCCGAAATGAATCGAAAAAACCTTTACAAGCTGTGTGAGCATGTGTCACACGACATCTATTAATTTACATCATGTACATATCAGAATGTAACATACACTTTAGTAATACCATTGTGTTTTAGGATATTTATTACTTTCTGACCGTTGGAATTGTCTTGTTATTGATTTAAAGACCACCTTTAACAAAAGCAAAACTTTTTTTTCCTTCTATTAAACATTTCTGAAAAATTACAGGATTTGTAAGTCCAAAAAAGAAAACATTTCATATGACAACAACAAGGTTTAGAAAACAAATTGGCAAGCAAAAATTCAATAATTAGACTTTCCAGATCAAGGTCATTTATGAGTACAGCTAGGTCAGAGTTAGTTTGGTTTTCATCAAGGTCTTGTCCTTAATGATGATTTAAGCACTTTTTGAGTTATCACAACATACATGTATTGCTATATTTGCCATATTTTTAGTCTATTTGTTACCACAGCAACCAGAGTTTTCTACATAGGCAGAAAAAAGATGTGCATATAATCTCTATACTGCCATCTTTTCATGATTCTTTTTCAGTTTCATAAAAATATCTTCAGTACTTTTTTACGAATGGTCACACACTGATGGAACCATGGACGCTGGACAAATTGTGATCACAAAAGCACATCTTTAGCAATTTGTGCTCAGGTGAGCTAAAAACCACTCATGAAAACCTAGGTATACAATGTATATTTTCTACAAAGTATACAACAATATAATTAATGGTTAATTACACTTACATTTCCTGTACTTTCTTGTATATTTTTCATTTTCTTTACTTTCATTCGCTGACAACTTCCAAAACCTCCTGTCATGATCGCAGCACTTTTCCTCTTACTGGACTCCCGCCTTTGTGTTTGAATTTTGTTATTCATCATACCAACAAAATACATTGCCACTATGAAATGGTATGCTCGATTTTTTGAGGAAACATCATATCCAGCACAAATACATAAATTTGGCATGATTCTAGGTATATGACTGCAAGTTCTCGATGGCGAGATTTCCCTAAGCAGTCCATACCTTGAAACATTAAATTGTCTATTGAAATCACTTACTTTATTATCAAATTTTGTTTTTGATTTAAATTCTGTATGTAGCATTTTAGTTATATACATAATCGTATAATGTAAATCTAATACACTTATCAATCTATGTTGATTGTCTTTTAAAGCTTGAAGCTGATGCTTATTGAAAAATGACTGCACTTTATCTGGAATCAGCATAAATAATACAGGATGATAGACCTCTATCCGCCCGTCTGGGGCGTTACTTACAAAATCCCCGTATGCATTACCATGATCGGAGAACACTATTGTCAATGTATTGGCCATCGTACTCGACCAAACCAAATATTCCGCTAAAGCTGCATCCAAATACTGAATTCTTTTCCCCGAACCAATGTGGCCGATATTTGTTTCGAGGAATGACAGAAATGGTTTTGATCTATGAAGCATGGTCTCTTGAAACATTTTCAGATAGGATAGCATATACTCGTGTTGATGTTGCCCGTTATAGCATATTTTATCTGGCGCATGAAACGGGTCAGGCACTTCATTTGCATTTAGTATATCACAGCTTGTAAAGGTAGTTCCTAAATCATCTATACCCGCTCTTTTGCTGGCATCTATAAAGTTCTTATATAAGGCAGTATCACTTAAACTTTTGTTATAAACCAATAAATCCTTAGAAAGTCCCCATTCCCAAAGCGGGCACAAATCTTCTAACCATAAATTCGAATATCCCAACTTTCTTAAAGGCACCAGCAGTTTTTGCAAATTCAATATCTGTCTTGGCATGTCCTGAGTTCCGAATGGTACTTCAAATGGATTAATAGACCCAGAGAACAATGTCTGCAAATTTTCAAAAGTTCTTAAGCGTACTCCTTGAACGAGTTCAAAATCAAGGACCATCAATGTACTGTCCTTGAAGTCAGCTGTCAAAGAATCAAGGGCTTTAACAGTCCGTGGTAAAGATCTATAAAAATGGTGTCGTGAGACGGAGTCGATAAATATAAAATTCAAATTTACATGTTTACTACTTTCATCTTCTACTTTTGATTGAGATTCTTCAACTGGCTTCGGAGGTAAAATTAATAACTGTGGGTTCCCGCTTTCAAGGTACAAATATTCGTCCGTCTGTTTTTCTTCGTCTGGAGACATATTTGTACACGCAAGAAAACAATATCTAGTTTTACTAGTCTCGATCACATTCTCAATTGATTTCTTTAGCTGGTTATTTGAACGGCGTAATTTCCATACAAATTTGCCAGTGTCGTCTGCTTCACCGATGTACAAAGATTTATGGCATAAAGAAATATCACAGTGGATGGACCATTTATCTGCAGAGCCCTGAAGAAGAATAACAAGAGCTGTCGGTAGGACAGCAACGCTCGACTATTCTTAGTGCTTGATAGTAAAAAAAATGCCTGATACAGTTACCTCCTCCTGTTTACAGGTTGGGGTCATGATGGTGAACAAGTGTGCAAAGTTTCAAAGCCATATGTCAATGGACTTTGAAAATATTTGAACTATTACAAAAACTTTAACGTAAATTCTAAGTCGAAAAAGGGGCATAATTCTGTCAAAATGCTTGATAGAGTTACCTCCTCCTGTCTACAGGTTGGGGTCATAATGGTGGACAAGTGTGCAAAGTTTCAAAGCCATATGTCAATGGACTTTGAAAATATTTGAACTATTACAAAAACTTTAACGTAAATTCTAAGTCGAAAAAGGGGCATAATTCTGTCAAAATGCTTGATAGAGTTACCTCCTCCTGTCTACAGGTTGGGGTCATGATGTTGAACATGTGTGCAAAGTTTCAAAGCCATATGTCAATAGACTTTGAAAATATTTGAACTATTACAAAAACTTTAACGTAAATTCTAAGTCGAAAAAGGGGCATAATTCTGTCAAAATGCTTGATAGAGTTACCTCCTCCTGTCTACAGGTTGGGGTCATGATGTTGAACAAGTGTGCAAAGTTTCAAAGCCATATGTCAATGGACTTTGAAAATATTTGAACTATTACAAAAACTTTAACATAAGTGGTTACGCCGACACCGACGCTCGGGTGACTGCAATAGCTCTACTTATTCTTATCGAATAGTCGAGCTAAAAAACGACACATCAAATTTTAACGACAAATTTTTCAGTCACTTTGAAAAGTTCATAAAAACATTAGAAGAAAGCATGTAGAGCAAATATCAGATATGAAAAAAACTTTTTGACCATAATTTTGGCCATAAGCATGTTCTTGTTTGAAGACCTGTGTGCATTTTGCCTTAGCCACTTTAATATGGGAGTGCGAGAGTCGTATGTTAAAGCATGACTGTCCACCTCTCAATCCTCGGTTAATGGATTTGAACCCGACTCCAGTTTCAACCACAATTCCTCATCTGACTCAAGACAGTATTATTTAGTCCAAGAAGTGGACATGAATGTGATTAACGTAAAAACATCTTATTTCAAATAAAAACTAAATAAGTATGATTAAACTAAAGGGAATTCTAACAAAAACAACTTAAAACACCAGAATAAACTTTATTTTGCATAAAGCTTTCATTTCTTTGACATTTTTACAGTTCAGTTATATGCAGTTTTAAATGTCCACTTTAAAGGCACATTATGCCTCAGAAATCCATATTTTTTGATTCTTTAGAAATATCAAACATGTGTTTAATAATGTTTAAATAATGGATTAAGTGGATGTTAGATGTTTTACAACTGAAAAAAGTAGGGCTGAACATGCAGTTATGTGTTGTAAAGGTACCAAACTGTAAAGAGAAAGTAGTATTTTGACTTCCATACAAAATATTAATTCACTTTAATTATACCAATGGTCAACAGAACTTAAAAGATGTAAAAGATAGTTCATACATATAGCAAGTGAGTATGTTTTTGGAAACCATAACAAGATACCAAACAAGAGCTGTCGGTAGGACAGCAATTCTCAACTATTCTTAGTGCTTGATAGTAAAAGAGCCTTGCTAATGTAAAATTTTCTAAATTTACAAAAGGGCAAAGTTTTTCTTTAAATCCATGTTACAGTTATAGGCATTGGAGAGAGTCCTATTACGCTCTCAAAGAAGAGTATAATATTTCAACTTGTTTCAAAGCCAGATGTCAATAGAATATAAAAATAATCTGGGGTGGTATGCAAACTTGTACATAACTTCTAAGTCAAAAAAGGGGGATAATTCTGTCTAAATGCTTGATACAGTTACCTCTTCCTGTCTTCAGGTTGGGGTCATGATGGTGAACAATTGTGCAAAGTTTCAAAGCCATATGTCAATGGACTTTGAAAATATTTGAGGTATTACAAAAACTTTAACATAAGTGGTTTAACGCCGACGCGGACACCAACGCTGACGCTCGGGTGACTACAATAGCTCTACTTATTCTTATCGAATAGTCGAGCAAAAAATAAACAGTTTTGAGAAATAAAAATAAATTTTTTAAATTTTAGTATAATTATCTGAGGCATAATGGGCCTTTAAACCTAAAGATTAAAATGACTTTTAAAACAGTCTTGAGTAACCGAATTAAGCTTGAATATGTCACTTACTGAAATGTTGCAATATTCCCTGGTATAAGGAGTCTTGCAGGCTCCATTAATATCAAGGGTGGACGGATCTCCGAATAATTTTGCAGCTAATCTGCAGGCACTTTTGAAAGGCTGTATTCTTTTACAATCCGCTGTTCTTAACGTTGTTTCATTTACTTTTCTGCTCTGTAATGGTAAACATATAAAGTTATCATATGACTAAAATAAAACTCAAGAGACTGGAATCAAAATTCAACTTGTCTTGATTTTAGTTCTCTTTATTTAATAGAAGTTTTTAGAATTTACAACAGGACCGGTAGAAAAATGTGGCCCGTTCAAAGAGTTCATCAGCTTCTTGTCCAACAGGGACATAATTGTGGCTAAGAAAAGATTTTGTACGATCAGTAAACAAAATATTATATTACCTTCGAAATGGATAATTTATTTTAAAATTAAAGCAACGATCATCTTTTCTAAAGGATAAATATGGCTTTTTTTTAGATAAATCATTTCATAAAATTATCAGATCAGAAGAATTCTGGTGGAAAATGAAATTTTCTGTTGATAAAATACATAAATAGAATACACAATAACGAAACTCCTCGATACCTCTAACATACCAGTCTATTTCCTACATTTATATTAGTAAAGTGGACGATGCGAATAGAAACCAAATATTTTTTAGAATACTATCTTGTAGTAAAAATATATATAAAATTATGACTATACAAGTAGTATTAATATTGGTTTATACAGAATTTATTTTAGTCTGATTGTGTAGGAGCTATAAGCTTATAGGCACGCCTTAGAATCCGTTCCTGGAGTCAACCAGTACTGAGCAATGAGTGTAAGGTTTCCTGCTCAAGAAAACAACGACTTGCCCCTGACAGGGTTTGAACCCATACGGCTAGCGATCCTTAGATTACTAGTCTAACGCTTTGACCACTAGGCCATGCTACCATGTGCATTAATGTTTCACATACATTTAATCTTGGATTCAGACATTCTGGATCTTCCTCATTTTTCCTTTCTTCCCCATTTAGAATTTCTCTCAGGATACTTTTCCTTTCTTGCTTGTCATTTACAAAATCTTCTGGTAGATTCCATTTACTCTCCTCTGATTGGTTGCTATTTATAAACACAGATGTCAACCAATCAGTTCTCAGCAACATTAAGGTGATGAAAGCAGCTGCTATGAGCTTTAATGCGAATGTCTTTTTTTTCCTCCGCATTGTCTTTTCTTGATGACTCATCTGGTTGAAGGAAAATAATACAATTTGCATAATACATGAGTTATAATTACCAGGATGCTAAATGTGAATAACAGGCAGCTCAACACAAATAAAAGGTTACCAAACATGAATAATAGAGAGCCCCTGGATACCAAGTTTAAAGGGAATAGGATGAATACAGAAGCCATGACTTTTGTATAGCATTGAAGTTTCAAGTGTGACCTTGATGTTTAACCGGGTAGCTTCAAGTGTGACCTTGCTGCTAAAGATCCTGTATGGTGTAATTGAGGTTGATACCACACTTAAGTGATGTTTTATATATGTATATAATTATGCTAATAAAACAATTTTTAAACATCAAAGAATATGTAAAATATGTACTGCAAATATTTGTGCACATTATATGTAATCATTAAAATATATGAAAAATAATGCGTTCCTCTAAATCAAAACTTACATAGAAACAATATAAAGGGATACTCAGGCAAATTAGTGCCAAAAATAAGAGAATTATCTTATGTACTCAAATCATGCTACAATGACATTTATAAAAGTCCAAGCATTTATTTCTGTATAAATTCTATATATTTTGGATTTGAAGCTTTGATATATGTTGAACAAAATTTAGCCGCAGACAGAATCACCAGGTACTTTTAAAACCATCCATGTGACTTAAACAAACCCTTGAAGTTACAACAACAGATATTGTGGATATTGTATGATTGAAACAAACCTAAGTCATTTATTTGACATGTTCTTTAATGTTTCCAGAGTTCACTGTGACAACTAATGTGAAATCTTAATGCACTAACCTGACCAACGAGGGTCAAGTTAGGAAACCGCAATTTTTTTCTTTATAAGGAGAGAAGTTTTGTTTCTGTGACTGCCTAGTGTATTCATTTTGAGGACATTTACAGATTAATGAATAAAAAATTTAAAACTAAGAAAGGAAAATTTTTCCTGTATCTCTATCCCTGACTATTCTACTAAAATATGAATTTGTGTCAGTCTGTCAAACAAAGAATAGACAACTTACCAATAGTTATCTTAGATCATCCTTGTTACAGCAAATCATCATCACTCCAAATTCAATCTAAAACCAATCTTTTTGTAAAAGCCCTACCATCACAACCCAAACCATATTTGTGGTAAATGTAAATCTACAGATAGAAAAGATAACAATTAGTTATAAATATTGACTATACTTCTTTACAGAGAAACAGATAAGCTTTAAAAGTGAATTGGGTATTACTCCATCATTTCCTTTGTAATTGAGTATAATAAAATGGCTCCATTTGATTGGGTATTTCAAAACTCGATACCCTATGTTTTCAAGATCAATTGGGAATTACTGTTATAATTTTTACATCGTAAATTATTTTACTGTTTCCTTATTAATTGTTATTAGAATTTCAATCTCTGTTATAGCATAATAGGAGAACTTATCCTATCCAAATTACCAAATGTTACCTGTAAAATGCTACCACAGACCAAGGATCAATTTTTTTTCAAAGCCCCTCGTACTGCAGGACAGGTTGCTTCAAATTTTTAATCGTCCTGAATGCTAGCTATGCTATTCATCTGCATTCTAGACACAATTTTCAAAAATAAATCTCCCTAATGCAATAGAACCTCGTCAATGCAATCGACCGCTAGAATTTTCACAATTTGTTTTTCACAAATTTACCGCACCAAAATTGGAAACAAAGCTTGTGTTTTAGGTTATGTATAAATCGGTCACTTTAAAGAGCATTGTCAGGCACATTCCAGTGATACCCATATCCAATTAACAATGCATTAAGTGCGCAATTTAAACATAACGTAAAATACAAGCTTCGTTTCTGGTTTTCCATCCTTAAAAGTAAACAAACTGATTATGAGAATTCTAGCTTACTATTACCAGAGACATAGATAATGTTATGTATATCTCTGCTATTACATTATTTTACATTATTATTATTTTTGCTCCTGCCAGACAAGCATTCTACCATTTTGTATGTGTCCTGCAATGATCTCTACTAGTAAATATGAGTGGATTGATCCCTGCAGACGCTATGGAGTCAGACCCTGCCCAACATGTGCATGATATGACCCTGTAATCATAATATTTCGACTGCAGACCGACCAGCTTTAAAAACTGATATTACACAGAGGTAGGGCAATATGCGGTTATCTGCCCCCGGGGCAGATCATGATCTCGTGGACGCTGGTTTTTTCCTTGAATTTCATTGGTTGAGGTTACTCCGAAGGAAGCTTCTAGGGCAGTAATTCTTACTAAAAATTTGGCGCTTTTCTGCAAGATTAATTTCTCATTTAAGCATGTCAGTACATGTGTACATTACATATCTTGAAAGATTCATTCACTATAAAATAAAATCAATTCAGTAATGTTTTCATTATCACTTGCAAAATGTTTAATATTTATTATAATTTTCTTTGGCTTTATTTTAAACTGGAAAAATTCATGAAAATGTTATTGAACATTTTGTCATCCGTGTAACTTAAATTACTGATAAATTCATTGTTACGTGATTATACAGTAGTATAGACAGTTAGGTATGTAAGGGCTACCAAATGGGTAATATCATTTTAATCTCACACATGTAGGGACTGAAAACCGGAGTATATATATAGCGACGAAATAATTTACTAACAATAATTAAATGCTACTTAAGGGGAAGTATTCCCCGGGAAGAGGGTTTTCTTCAGGGGCCATCATGCTTTAACAAGAGCTGTCGGTAGGACAGCATGCTCGACTATTCTTAGTGCTTGATAGTAAAAAAAATGCCTGATACAGTTACCTCCTCCTGTTTACAGGTTGGGGTCATGATGGTGAACAAGTGTGCAAAGTTTCAAAGCCATATGTCAATGGACTTTGAAAATATTTGAACTATTACAAAAACTTTAACGTAAATACTAAGTCGAAAAAGGGGCATAATTCTGTCAAAATGCTTGATAGAGTTACCTCTTCCTGTTTACAGGTTGGGGTCATGATGTTGAACAAGTGTGCAAAGTTTCAAAGCCATATGTCAATGGACTTTGAAAATATTTGAACTATTACAAAAACTTTAACGTAAATTCTAAGTCGAAAAAGGGGCATAATTCTGTCAAAATGCTTAATAGAGTTACCTCCTGCTGTCTACAGGTTGGGGTCATGATGTTGAACAAGTGTGCAAAGTTTCAAAGCCATATGTCTATGGACTTTGAAAATATTTGAACTATTACAAAAACTTTAACGTAAATTCTAAGTCGAAAAAGGGGCATAATTCTGTCAAAATGCTTGATAGAGTTACCTCCTACTGTCTACAGGTTGGGGTCATGATGGTGAACAAGTGTGCAAAGTTTCAAAGCCATATGTCAATGGACTTTGAAAATATTTGAACTATTACAAAAACTTTAACGTAAATTCTAAGTCGAAAAAGGGGCATAATTCTGTCAAAATACTTGATAGAGTTACCTCCTCCTGTCTACAGGTTGGGGTCATGATGGTGAACAAGTGTGCAAAGTTTCAAAGCCATATGTCAATGGACTTTGAAAATATTTGAACTATTACAAAAACTTTAACGTAAATTCTAAGTCGAAAAAGGGGCATAATTCTGTCAAAATGCTTGATAGAGTTACCTCCTCCTGTCTACAGGTTGGGGTCATGATGGTGAACAAGTGTGCAAAGTTTCAAAGCCATATGTCAATGGACTTTGAAAATATTTGAACTATTACAAAAACTTTAACATAAGTGGTTACGCCGACGCCGACGCCGACGCTCGGGTGACTGCAATAGCTCTACTTATTCTTATCGAATAGTCGAGCTAAAAAAGGGGCTTGGCAATGTTTTGGGGGTACTGTCTTAATAAGCATAAAAGGAATGATTTTTTTACTGACATTAAAGTAACATTATGAATGCCTAGTAGGTATCTGCCCCGGGACTGATAACCGGAGTATATATATCGGCGATATAATTATATGCATTAGGCTATATAATACGGAATGAACAATAAACTGAAACGATGTTAAAAGTATATATGTACAAGTTCATTCCATCTGCTATTTTAAACGGTATGATGAAATTATATGAGCAGTATCAATGTATAACTTCATTCCGTCAGTTATTTTTTATGGAATGAACGATATACTGAAGTGATTTTAGCTGTCTAAATGTAGGAGTTCATTCCATAGAGGATTTTTATTATGTAAAATCCTGTATGAACCCCTTGCTAGATGATTGTTCTTTCACAGCTCACTACGCACGCGCATGGAACGTAAATATTTTATTTCTTTGCGCATGCGGGTGTGATATGTTCTAAGCGCCTGAATGATCCAGATCAGTAGGGCTGACCACAAGACTGTCATAAAAATACAGATAAGAATTTTTCTGCCCCGGGGGACAGATAACCGGATATTGCCAGAGGTAGGCCTTAAGGTGATCATCATCTATAGATAAAAAGCCCGTAAGTGCACAGTTTGTTGGGCTAATTCGCGAATTCGAAAACCTAGCTAAATGCCGTTTTCCGGTACTTTCTGTACATAGCTCTGGGGAATTCACCTAATGGAGTGTAATAGCGAACTCGATGTTTTCGGCCTTTTTTAAATTAAATTGAAATAAAACAGTAATTTCTTTATAAGAAAATAATTAAATATCATTGTATGAATAATTCCATACAGAAAATAAAGTAGATACACAAGTTTACGCAAAAAATAACCTTATTTATTACGGAAGATTCCACCAAGTCCGTTTAAATTTTATTGATTTTCATCATGAACAATTTATTTTTTTGAAAAAATTTGTAATAGATATTCAAGGAAAATTGATAATTTTCAAAGACATTAATTTTTTTCACCTTAAACGGTAAAATAATGATAGAAAAATAGAAATATCATGTAACTGTGTTATGTACTTCATTTGGTGAAATTCCCCAGAGCTAAATTCGTAACGTACCGGAAAACGGTGTGTAGCTATGTTTTCGAAAAGGTCAATGCCCCTGCACATGTAAACACATTATAAAAAATATTTTAACATTTAAACACAATTAGGACATCTGTTACAACTTGGATATAAGATAACTTATGTCCAGGGTTACAATGATAAAACTAGTTTTCAAACAATTTTTACATAAACAAAAAAAATATTTTTTTAGTTTTACCATCAACTGACCAAGTCTCAATAGAGTACATGTACTTGAAAAGCTACCTGCATGGTAATGCTCTGATGATTTAAGTCGTCCAATATTAGACATTACCAGATTACAGGCATGTTATACATGATGATCAAGCTTTGCAAAGAAATAAACAGATAAAGCTATCTCAAAGCAGCGTCATATTTATAGGACTTATGATTGTTAGTTATAAATTAACAATGTTATAAACAACATTATCGTTTTGCAAAAAAAAAATATTAAAGTTTTGACGTAAATCGAATTATAATTCACAAAATGGAGTTTAGTAATCATATCTGTTTACCTGTTCAACGTAAAGCGACAAATGGTGGACGGTAATTAAAGGGAAGTAACTTTGGATAAATTGTCGCTTTTATCCAGAGACTTAATGGAGAGGTTGGTCTGACCGGTAGTCAGACTATTCTCTCCCTTACCAGTTCCTCCCCTGACGTTTCCTCCCTGACGATTCTCTCCCTATTTTGGGGGAAAATATTATTAGATTAAGTAAAAACTAAAATGATAACTAACATATAAAATTTGGGGGGAGAACTGTCTGCATATTTCAAATTTGGGAGAGAACCGTCAGGGGAGGAAACGGTAAGGGAGAGAACCGTCAGGGAGAGGAACTGGTAAGGGAGAGAATAGTCTGTCATTCTGTCTGACCACAGGCACACGAGTATCAAACCTGGGAAGAAAATATGACCACATTGATGAAATAAACCTCTGTGTTCATCTTAAATGTGTCAAAAAAAATTTGCCCCCATAAAAATGGGGATGTACTATTCTCCGGTCTCCTATCGGTAAATCCCGGTCTCTCCCGGTCTATTTTGACCGGGATTTACTAGAGACCGGCGAATAGTATCACACGTTTATTGTCCGGTCTCTCCCGGTTTTGAAGTAGATATTTTATTTGAAATCGTAACAAAAAAATAAGTTTTTTTTTCAAAATTGAATGTTTTCACTTAATTTGGTTGCAATAATGAATTAACAGAGATCATCTCTCAAATTTATTTATTTATTATAGATCTAATTATTATTATTATACAAAAACTTTCAATTCCAAAAATAACAAAAACACTTTTCATTTT